TGCTTAATAAAGATTTTATTTCTGGAAGGTTATTTAAAAAATTTAATGTTTATCCTTTGTTCAAAAAATTTCGATGGGCAAACATTATCCCAATTTTTCACTAAATATTTCAGAATTGACTTAAAACTTCTACATTTCTTGGTTTTCTACGAGTTTCTTATATTATATATTAGTTGGGCTGAGCAGGTAATATCGGATATGATCGGGACTAAGTCGAATGGTCCAAATTCCTTTATTTCTAATTGGAAATTGTCATGGCTATTAGCTCCATGATCTACTAATTCTTTTATTAATTTCTTTTAAAAATTAGAATTCTTAGGGGAATTAGACTATGAAATATTATATATAACTTAACTATCAGATGCTTTATATAATAATTTTTAAACCGAAATATAATAAAATATAAACCACATACTAGTGAAAACTAAAGGCATACTGAAAAATATTTGAAGGAAACAGCTGAATAATATAATAAAATCTTTTAATAATATATATTTTAATTAAATAAACATAAAAAACGAATGCGTTCGTCAAAAAATGAGTACATCAAAAATTAAAGAAACATCGTTCTTCGCCATGTTTTTTCAAAAGAACGGACTTTTACAACACTACACATATGAAGGATCTCCTAAAATCTATTTCATTTTTTTGGCTAACATTTGATTTCTGGTAATTTAAATGAAATATAGGCTTCTATCTGTTGATTATTATTGGAATTACAGAATGACTTTGTGATTTCATTTTAAGCTCTAAAACTTACTTCATTAACAAGTAGATTTTTAAATTTTCTATCCATCATACATAGGTACTCCCCATCTTATTTCATATTATATGTGCGATACTGAATTATAATTTCTGTTAAATGTAGACATGTGCGCCGACAGCATTTTCGGCGGCGGCGTTTCTTTTTTTAAAATGATCGGCTGGCGGCGGCGAATCGATTTAGACGCCGCCACAAAAATCGGCGGCGGCGCGGCGCTGCGGCGTCAAATATTTTTCTAACTTAAATTTTTTAAAGTAAATTTATAAATTCATTGGAAACACTTTTAAAATAAAATTTATACTTTATTATGTTTATAACTATAATTTAATGATTTTATTAAGTTATAATTATCATGAATAAATATTATTTTATTAAGATTTAAAGGACATAATAATGATCTTTTAGAGTTCAGATTGAGCCCAGCTATAGAAAATACACGCTCGCTGGGTGTGCTTGTAGCTGGAACGCACAGGACCTTTCTAGCTAATATTGAAAGTTTAGGAAGATCCAATGCTCTTATCTTCCAAAAATCTAAGACATCTTTTATCTCCAAATTATAAGGCGAAAATAATGAATAACACTATTTTTCTAAACTAGTTAAATAGTGTTGTTGTTCCAGGTTATTGTTTTAAATAGATGAATGCTTCGTAGCCAATGACTTAAGATAATCGAGTTTTGAAGCAACTTCCGTCGTTTTACATTCGTTTAATTCGTCCGTGTAAGATCGTAGAGAGGTAGCGTGTTGACATAAAAATTCAACCGGAGTAATATTTTTTTCCTTTAAATATTCATTTACTATGTTTATTGATTGAAAACGAGGATCCAAAAGTGCTCCTAACACCTAAGTAAAAAAATAAAAGAATGAATAATGTATAAAAAATAATTTATGTATTTTAAAATACTAGAAATCTATGATCAAATTTAGTAAGCATATTTTGTTTAAGGGATGCTATGGGTGGACTATCATTTTCTTTTACAATTAAATGATTTTTAATTTCACAACGAATAATAAGGCTAAATTTATAGTAACTCCTTTTTGGACAGATAAAAATTCAACAGTTTGTTTGAAGGTTTTAAGAAAATTTAAAAGTTCATACACCAAGTCCCAATCGGAGTTAAATATTTGAGATCCGGTTTCTCCATTCTATTTAATAGAATATTTATAGGATTTTTGTTATTGCCAGTCACACTTTCCAGCATTATTAAAATACTATGCCAACGTGTAGGCACATTTAATTTTAAGGTTTTATGTTTTTTCTAATATGATTTTTGATTTTCACTATCATCATAATACCCCAAACGATCTTCATAAAAAGGATCATTATCATCCAAATCTTAAATATCCGATGTATATGATATCGATTCAAAACATTTTCTATTTTCTATATCGTTTATATTTTCCAAATCCGCTGTTTTGAATCTTAAGGCAACTATAACTTCTCTAACTTTTTTAATGAGATTTTCAATTTTATTAACTTTTTTTATTCCATCGACTGTCACTAGATTATGTAATCCATGCCCCAAACATAAATGATGGTCATATTCTCCTAGACGAACACTTTTCTTTACATTGGGTCCTGCATCCATAACCATTTGAATTTTCTTGGACCCTAAGTCAAATTCATTTTCAACTTTTTCTATTTCGGAAAGAATAGTTTCAGCGGTATGTTTTTGGGTGACATGATGTGTCGCCAATGTATAAAATACAATATTAAAATTATTATCTATTTCGTGAAAAGTAAAGGTGATATAATTTCGCCGTCTATATTTGTCTGTCCACATATCAAAAGTTATAGCACAAAATTTAGGACCTACATTAATTTGTTGGCATAGTATGCTTTCATTGATAAATAAACATCATCTAATCCACTCCGGCTAAGTGTAGTTCTGTCAGGTAATTCTTTGCATCTGAAATAATGCCATATTTCTACATATTAAAAAGTTAATAATAAAATATTATGCCATAAAAAATTCTAAATGTGGGATGTTATAAAATAATTAAATATCTTAACAAATAAAAATTAAGATTGCCCTATAAAAAATTATAATGATTTTACAAATAACCTTTAGAAAATCTTGCATTCCAGTATTATTTATAGAAGAGAATGGCATTAAATCCTTGCAACACATGAGAACATAATTCCTTTCCAGAATCCATTTTTTTATCTTTTATAGGGTCAGTTGTATCTTTTACAATGGGTTTGAAAAATAACTTTAAATTTTGTTTAGATATTTCTTCTTTACATGATAAATCATGTTTGTCAAGTAAATGTTTTATTATATTTGATGTGCTGATATTTTTTGAAAAAGATTTGATTGGATAACTAATTAAAAAATTTACTAATATTTATAAAATAATCAAAAAATTTACTCTGAAAATGAAGAATCATTTTCATCCTCACCATTAGTGTTGTTAAACGGCTCGTTTTGAGCCGATTTTTAAAAACGGCTAACTCAATTAATCTAGAAACATATTACGCAAGCCTGAAGATTTTGCTCGTAGAAGGAACAACGGTCTAGGCATATATTATCGAAATCTCGAGGCTTAGGTAATATTTTTCTGCCTAAAAAATAGAGTTAGCCGTTTTAAAAAATCGGCTCAAAACGAGCCGTTTAACAACACTACTCACCATCTTTATCAAGTGCTATTTGCAAGCATGTATTACAAAAGACTTTATCTGTAGCAACACTGGTTCTCTTATTATTTGTGTCAGTTTTTAATATTAAGGATCCAAAATGTTTCCATGCAAAAGAAGGATCCATTATAATTGTTTTAGTCCTGGTATTTTTATATATGTTATAATGGCAACAAAATAAAAATCATTAAATAAAATTTCTATTATGATAAAAAATAAATTTTATTTAACGAGTTGTAAATTATTTGAATCAAAATAAAAGAATAAAATATAGATTTACCTTTTCAAATTTAATGTCCTAATCTTATTTTATCTAGCACGTTGGTCACAAACCTGCCCAAAGTGAGCGAATAAGGATTGTTACAAATCAAATTAATAGAAAATAGTATTTATTAATTTTAAAAAATAAAATCGCATTTTTTAATAATTCAAAAAATATTTAATATTTTTCTAATATTCATAAATAATATATAAAATAAATAATAAAAAATATGTGTCACGCCGCCGAATTTTTACATCGGCGGCGGCGTGTTGAGCACCGACAATTTTTTGGCGCGCGGCGTCGGCGTGGTCAAAATCATCGGCGGCGCACATGTCTAGTTAAATGTAATTTTTTTAAACACTAAGCCATTAATAATACAACCAATGTATTAAATACAACATCTTTTCACACTATATATTCACACAATTACTAATATACTTATCAGTTATTATGAATATTTAAATTTAATGCAGAGGCATACATGAATAAAAAAATATTTTGCGTTCAGGCACAGTCTTATATTTTGTGCATGTGGTCATCATTAAATTTTACAACAGAAATGCCTTATCCATGATAAATCCCTTCCAGCATTTAAACTACCTTTTATAAATGTTGCTGCAAACCATGAAGCACCTTCAAGAACAATATATACAAACCCCCTTCTATTGGTTTCTAGATTATATAAAAAGGTAGGGACTATTATATTTGTTATAAAAATTTAAATGAAAAGCATAACAAAAATTATCCTTTTAATATTTAAAATATAAAAAAACAAAAATATTAAAAATACTCAAAACATGTAATATTTTAAGAAAAGTTTATTTTCAAATTGATTTGGGTTAAAAGCTTTACAAACCGTCATTTTTTCTAAAAAAGTATCATTATTGTACGTTCTTGTATTACTGAATTTTAAATTTATTAAGGCTAAATAATTTATAAATAAATTTTTAATTTATAATAATTTATGCAAGTATTTTTATATAATTTAAATTTTCCATCATGAGATAAATTCACTCTGTTTCCAAATATTTAATCAAAATGTTTCCGTTCGTTGTTAACTCCTTTTTGGTAAATTTCATTGAGATTTTTGGCTGTGAATTGATGATTTGGCCAAGATATTACGAAACGTGAGGCATCCCAATCTGTTAAAGGTTTGACATATATCGCCAATCATGTTTCAGTCAGCGAATTTATAATTTCCATTTTTTATACAGTTTAATAGTGTTAATGATAAATCTTCAAAATATAAAAATCGGAAACTCATTATTTTTTAAGGTATTAAAATTTTAAAATATTTATATATTAATTTAATGACTTTTTATACGATTTAAAATTATAGGATACTTGATGAGTTTTCTAAAGATCTTGATCACACCGAATCACGGATGGATATGGTTATGAAAAAAATGGCAAAAACTATGAAAATCTCTTCAGGTTTATCATTCAAGCATAACCAAAATAACTGATTATATATCGCGCATTTATTGTTTTATTTTTAATGGATGGTTGGGCTAATTTTATATTTTCTTGGCAAATAAGGTATTATTTTATATATTAAGATTAATTAAAATACCATACAATAGATAATTTGATTTATATTTAATAATTGAAAATATTGTTTTTTTTAAATTTCAGACAAGAAACAATGGTGGGCCATTGCCATCTTATCACTCGTCCTCTTCATACTTTTTATCTTATTTTTTTTATGATGAAACTCAAATTTATTCATACACATGTAAGATTTTTCGAGTAAAATTTATTTGTAACACAGTTGAAGATCGTCACTCTTTCCATCATTTTCTTTAACATACTTTCGTAAATATGATGAATAACTATCTTTCTGCTCTCCATTCTAGCAATGATTTTATTTGTGGGGAAAAATATTTAAATGTTTTTAATATATATTTATTAGCATGATTCAATTATTATTTTATTATATACAATATTGCCATTGTTAAATTTTAATTGTTACTGATGAAAAATATATTATTATTAAATTTTAAAATATTTTGACTAAAATTTTTGGGAAAATAAATGCACAAAAGATCATACAAAAAATTTAAAGTAAATAAAAATTAAACTATATTTGCAATTGAAGGTTTTGCCAAATTTAATGCAGATTGTGAAAATAAGGCTTTTTTTATCAACAACTTATAAAAATAGGCCTAAGTTTTTGTTGAAATTTGTTTGTGAAATATTTTAAAATAATTCGTCAGTCAGCCAGTTGTCTATAAAATATTTTTCTCCCTCCTTCCACCTGCACAGGCATCTACTACAATGGGTATGACGCAAGATCAACATTATGAAAAACATATAATAATCTTATTTTCCACCCGATTTAAAAATTCTACCTGCTGAATTTACCAGCAAACAATACAAGATTTCTAATCTATTTTTGGGGTAGTTTTATTTTTTAAAATTTAAGGGAATAAGGAATGGTAAAAACGTTATCGTCATTAAAATCTATTAAAATAACGAGGGAATTAGGATTATTAATCCAATGCTGGGTTCCAGCTTAATTTTTTTAAAACCGTTCCGAGCTTAGTTAAAAAAAATAGGACGGAAAAATTTAAAAAATGACATTTATTAAAAAAAACAAGAATTAAAAGTTCTAGGATTAAGGACAAAGCAATTTATTTTATAAAAATAAGGTCAATCTTCGGGCTGGAAAATACAAGCGTAAAAATAAAATAGTATCTTTGTTTCTAATAAAAAGTAATTAGAATATTCTTAGAATTAAGACAAAGCAATTAGTGATATTTATTTAAAAATGTGCTGAAGCCATCAAACAATATATTAAATCAGATATCAAATAAATAAAACAACCTGTTGAACAGCTCATGTATTATATTAAATTATATATAACAATATTATATGCGACCCCCGTCATCCACAAAAAATGCCCGTAACCCTAAATTTTATTAAAATTTGTAATAAATAACCCGTCTTAATGTAGCCCAAAATTATCAAAAGATATGGTATAACAACAATTACAATATATTAAATCAGATATCAAATAAATAAAACAACCTGTGTATTATATTATATATAACAATATTATATGCGACCCCCGTCATCCATAAAAATATGCCCGTAACCCTAAATTTTATTAAAATTTGTAATGAATAACCCGTCTTAATGTAGCCCAAAATTATCAAAAGATATGGTATAACTACAATTTTAATCCTATTCCCATAGACGAATACGACATAATTTATCAATTAAATGTTTGTGATCGATGTAAGCGTCTAAGAGGGCATCTTTTTCAAAACTTTGTCTATCCTCGATAACCAAAAAATGGCGTACCATTCTTAATAGATCCGAAGCAAAAAATCCCAAGTCCTCTGAAAGATTGATGAAATAATCTAAATTATGATACATGGGATAAAATCATCATATAAAAAATTCAAAAACGAACTTAGAGTTAATGATTAAACCCATACTGTCATTTTTTCAGGGTTTAATTTTTTTGTATAATTTGATTTAATATATATAAATAAAATAGATTTAACCAATGCTTGTATTTATTAGTGTTATAAACGTTACTTCCAAAAAAATGAGTTATTCGTTATGTTCGAAAAAAGAAACGCGCTACTCGTTATTTAAAAAAGTTATAAGTTACTTAAAAAATACTAAAAATAAAATTATATAAAAATAATATATTAATAATTTTTAACAATTGAGTTTCAAAATTTTGATCAGATAAACAAGAGTTCTTATACTCAATATAGCTTGTGCTAAACAGGGTAATCTGGCGCAGTCTTTATTTAAAAAAAAACTTATTGGTCCATCTTCACAAGAATTTGCATTTCAGATCCTCATCAATCTTAATCAGAACATATTTTAACCTTATTTTTTAGATTTGGGCTGCTGGATATCGAGGTTAAAATTAGGGCATAATCTACACTTACAAAGTATAGAATATGTTTTCTTTATTTGTGTAAAAATATTTCATACTGGGGGCCATGGCAGAGTTAAATCGTTTTCATCTGAAAAAAGTAATATTGACATATATTCGTTATAAAATTAATTATAATTAAGGGAATTTTAGTCTAAAATTGGGGTGCTCTACTTACAAAATTGTTAAGAATTGAATTTATAGATTATAAATAAAAAATGGAGAGGTAATTTATAATACTGTTTCTAAATGATAGGCTAAAAAAAATTTTAACTAAAAACTTTTTGTGATAACTTTATTCAAATAATCAAAAATTTTACGTAGAGCAAATACATATTTTATAAATTATTTTTGTTCAAAAGCAAAATAAACATAGGTAACTACGATAAATCATCAAATTATATGATATAGAGTATAGACACACAATCGTTATTTAATTTATTAATAGAAATAATAATTTAGCTGAATAAAAAAATATGGCAATAATTAACTGATAATTTTCTACTTAGATATTTTAGAATAATGGTAACTACTATATCATCAAATTATATGATATAGAGTATAGACACACAATCGTTATTTAATTTATTAATAGAAATAATAATTTAGCTGAATAAAAAAATATGCCAATATTTAACTGATAATTTTCTACTTAGATATTTTAGAATAATTATTATATAATTTAAAAAATGTACACAACGGGTGATTATAAAATATGATAATATCATAAAGTATATAAAAAAATTATGAAATAAGCTCAAAATTAACAGTGCTCTAACATGTCCAAAAGTTAATATTAAATTTAGTTTCTATTTATATATTTATGAAAATGAATCAATCAAAATCCAATACTTATTCAAAAATGTCAAGTAGAGCACTTCAATTCTAGATAGACGATAACCTGATTGATTCAAGATTAATTGGAATAAAATAAATATGAAAAACTTTGGTGGTTTATCTGAATTATGAACTCGGTTTAAAATTATATGAAAAAATAATTTTTTTTCCCTATTGCGTTACCGTTACTAAAAATATAGAAACTCGATACCCTTATAATCAAGTAATGAAATGAGTTCCTTTTTCTAAAAAGTAGGGATGTACCGATATTATTTAGCGGATCGGGCCGATATTTCACCCATTTTAAAATATCGGTTATTGGCCAATATTATTAAATTTTCCCACCCTATCCGATAAAATGGAGTCTTAAACAAAAATAAAATGTTATAAAAAAGTTATATCTAAAATCATTAATTTTATGTATATTTTTTTAATAATAATAAATTAATAAACATCTGCCATATTGCTATTTTTTTGCGCATTCTGTTTATAAAAGTGTGCGATAATCTCTTCAGAATCTGATTTTAGTGAAGCAGGTGATATGGACAGTTACCATCCCCACAGGCTGACCTCTGATAAATTGGAAATTTTGTTATTTCTAAAAAGAAATCTTCGATATATTAATGTTAAACATTATTTTAAATTTCATAATATATTTGTTTATTACTTATTATTATATATAGATTAATGTTATTACTTATTATATAAAAGTAATTTAACAATAAAAAATATTTTATATACTTTTAGAATTGCAATTTAATTGAATATAAACTATAACTAATCATTATAATATATTTAAATGACATAAGTTATGGTATAGTTGAATTTTTGATGTTATACTAATAAAAAGTATATTAAAAATTAATATTAAAAATTAAACATTGGTATCTTTACAGAATACAAAATTAGATATGATATCGGATAGATAATCGGCCGATATCAATTTAATATCGGATCGGCCTCCAAAAAGTGGTATCGGTACACCCCTACTAAAAAGGGTAACGCCGTTACTTTACATCACTAGTATATCAATTAAATATTTTAAATAATATATTAGCCTTGATGAATATTTAAACGAATCTGGATAGTATCGAACCTTATATAGGCTCGGATGGTTAAGATTCTATGAAGAAAAAATGGAAAAGGTATAAGGTCGGTTCAGGATTAGATTTTTACAAAAATAATGAGCCCCAAATAAGAATTGTAATCTAAGCGATTTTATTATTAGCCTATACCAAAGAATTCAACCTTCTAATAGGCTACCTGACCACTTATGATGTTTCGAAATTTTTTTTTAAGTTTGTATACATTATAAATATGAAAATAATACTATGATATGGGTTTCTAAATTTCAAAAAAATGGAATATTTGGGGAAAATCAACTCCTTTTAATTTTAGATATTTTTGGAAATAATTGTGCTAGCGTCATTTAAATTTCTTTAGAGCCTAATTATATAATGTTTATAAATTTTGAATGTCAAAAACCGGAAATGATCAAGAAATCAAATGTAAAAATTGGTCGAGCTCAAATTTAGGAGAATCATTATTATATTGCATTCTTAAATATTTGGCATTAATCAATAATTGTAAATACAAGCCAAAATATTTTATGTTTAATATTTAAAAGAATTGTTATATTTAAGATCTGGAAAAGTAATTAAAAATAGCTAAAAAAATACAAATCAATTTTTGAGTACAATTTTATTGAAGAAAAAATTAAATTTTTATATATTGTAAATTGAATAATTTTCATAATATGATAATTTAACTTTAATTTTCCCTAGGCATAAAAGCATGGAACTTTTATATTCCGGGAATGGAATAAGATATTTTTTCATATTCATCATCCATATGCGAATATATTTCAATGATATCTGATTCATATATGGATGCTGAAGGCTAGCTCTTGCTGCTAACCTTTGCCAATGTTTGCCATGGGGTATTACGAAGAAAGCCATTCTGCTTTGATTTCAAAATAAGTTCGCGATAGCTTATAGATTAGTAATCTGGGTAATTTTTGGCCCGAAATTAAAAAATAATTTATTTGCAGATCTCTAGCGTAGATTATGACTTTTTAAAAATTCTTAGAGATACTGCACTATAAGGAAAAAAATATCTTTGATAAATTTTGTTAAAAATGTAAAATTAATAAGTGTTTCTTTTAAATTAGATTATATTTCCTTAAGATTGCAATAAAATGGGTTTTATCAGGAATTATACGACTCTTTTAAGCGGAATTATAAAATTTCCCAATAATTTCTATAATATAATTTCGAAACACTCCTAGGCTTTATATTTGGATTGGATAAAACATCATTTTTTTGATATCTTTGCCATGAATTCAGTCGTAGAAAATTCTTCTAGTTTTTAAAGGTTTAATAATTAGGTAAAGTCAATATCATGTTTTAATTTCGAGAATGGTTTAAAGTTAATCTTTTAATTGCTTAATTATTTTATGTTCACCGCTAATATTATAATTATCTTCTGAAGAAATTTTCAAAGCATCTAACAAATTTCATCGTTAATGATTTATTCTGTTTAATCATCCAAGGAAGTAGATTTCTTATGCTTCACAACGTATATGTTTATCCAAATTGAATGGATTTTAATATACTGTTTATAAAAAAAATAAAAAATTAGCCAATTCAGAAATAAAGTAAATAAATATATTTAATACATTAACAATACCAACCCTATTTAAATAGATAAATATTTAAAAACTTACCTAAATATATTACAATTAATGATTTATTAAGAATTTTTACAATTTTATAATGGTTAAATAGCCATAACTCCTAAACTTGTGCTTAGCCCAGCTTGTAATTTTGTAAATTTATTAATTAATATAGCTATGAATAAAAAAATGAGAGAGAAAAATTCCGATTTAATTTTATGATCATTATGCCAGATATAAAGAAATTTAAATGACGCCTCTAGCTCAATCATAAACAGATATCTAAAATTAAAGGGAATGTATTTTGTCCAAAATGCCACAGTTTTCGACATTTAGAGTCCTAGATCTTAGCCGCATTTTGAAATTGGAGGCAAAATTTTTTTTGAGTCATAATATATGCAAACTAGTAAAAATCTAAAAAAAATCTGAGTGGGTCGAGTTTCTTGCTGATTTGTCATGGAATAATTTATTTTATATTTAATATTTTTAAAATTTATCGAGAAATTGTTAATTTTAAATCATTTTATATATGTATCTTTAGTGCTTCTCTAATTGAGAGATAATTTTGAAAAATTCTTCTATTAATTTTTATTTCCTTCTAACTTATAAGAAATGAATATTTACATTAATCGTTTACAACTCACTGTACCTTTCTAAAAAAACAAACTATGATCCGAAAAGAAATAATCTCGAATTCAAAATTTTCAAAAAATTCTTATAACAAATTATAATTTATTTAATATTATTTACCAATATTTCAAAATATATGAAAAAAATCAACCAATAGTACAGTACTTAATTTGCAAGAATTAGTCCTCATCAGGTAAATAGCACTTTATAATGTTATAGCTAAAAAATAAATTGATGAATTAAAAAAATGATTAAGTTATGTCCATGTTTTTAATTTATATATATAGGTATTGGAGCCAGGTATTTGTCCGATATCCAGCCGTATCGGCATCAAAAGAGATTTCAATATGCTATGCGCGGGATTTTAAGCCGAACGCTCGCCCATTGTTTTAAAAAGTTTAAACGCCCACCCAAGTTTTTTTTAAATTCACCCGCCCGCTCATGTATCTAAAAATTTGGCCTAAATGTTTAAAAATTATTTTAATGGTTGGCTTAGTTTTTTATTTTATATTTTTAAAAAACCTCAAAATTTATAAAATTGTGAAACATAACAAAAATCTTTTATTTGATATTTATAATTCCTACCAAATTATTTTTATACTTGTCAATTTGATTTCTAATTATATTTAAAAATTAATATTACTTATTTGTTTTTCGTATTGATTTAATCATTACTCTTTTTTCGTTAAATTTAATTATATTTTTGATATTTAGGTCACAGCCTAGATAAAAATATTTCTTAATCCGTATAAGATCGTTCTGCTTATTTGCCCGAAAAATATTTCAAATTCACTTGCATGCCCATTTAAAAATATTTTAAAATCGGCGGCTTACCTGCTCAATGTCTAGATATTTAAATTCGCCCGCCTTTAGTATAGGAGGCCGGCTTTAATGGGTATATCTCTGCTTGTAATTAACAATATTTTTTAGTTCTTTAGTTTATAACTATCTGGAAATAATAATAATGTATATATTTATACAACAGATGAAACTAGTAAATAAACATAATAGTGATTAAAATTTAAAAAATATCACGATTGTCGGCCAAATTGCATAAAAATATGTAAATATTAACATTTTAAAAATTACAACATTCGTAAAAGCACAAGATTTATCATAAATTTCAAACATAGTTATAAATATATAAGTAACTAAAATAAATTAAACTAAGTAGTAATGGTTAAATAAATTTTACCTATGTCGCAAATCAATTGATGACAACCATTTGTATTTAAGCGATTGATCTTAAGTAAGACATCTTTCACAAGAGCTTGGCAAGTATAATCGATAAGGTATTGCAGCCAATATTCAGCAGCATTATCGTATTTGGATGTTCCCGTGACTTAAAAAATTGGTAAAAAAATTAAAAAATGTAATAAACTAAAGTTTTAGGATTAGAAGGAAAATTGTTTTGAATAAACAAGTTTAATATTTAAGATCATAATCAAATTTTAAAATTGTATCGAAATCTAGGCTATATTGTTTTTGACTAATGATAATACAAAATGTGCAAAAAATTATAATTTCACATGGTTGGCAACTAGTCAATAGTATATTTGATCGGAAACTCTAAAATGTTATTTGTTATTAAAGATATCTTTTATAATGGTTAAATATATATTTGCATTAGTAGTTATTTAATATAAATACTCCCATAGATTGACTTGGGTAAATTAATTTTAGTCTTCTATTTTTGCAGATCACAGGTCAAAATAAAGAAAACAGCCTGATTTTAAACTTGCCTACTGCCATCTAGGCCTATTCAAAAAAAATTCGAATATTCGATTCGAATAGAAACGAATAATAAATTATTTGTTTTATCCGAATACGAATAATCATTTATTCGATTCGAATAAAACGAATTATTCGTAATATTTAATAAATTGCTTTTTTTAAAAATAAACTAACATTTGTCATTTCTATTTGATAACCTGCCAATCTGACAGGTGATGTGTTAATAAAAAGATTAGCAAAAATTTTAATTTCCCGTATTTTTTCAAAATTAATTATATTAAAAATTACACAAACCAAAAGTATATAAAAATTAGTGATGTTAAAAGTTACTTTTGAAACATAACTAGTTACAGTTACTAGTTACATTGGCAAAAACATAACTAGTTACAGTTACTAGTTACATTTTTACAAAAGTAACTAGTTATTAGTTACAGTTATTTTCAAAAGTAATTAGTTACTTACTTTATACATCATTCTTATGCGCATTATTAATTTATTGAATGCATTTATTTAATGTAAAAAAAAATTAGGATAAACAAAGTATAATCAGTTATTTAAAATAATATACAATTTATTTATATAAAAAAATATCGCAAAATTGAATATTTACATCGAATATAAAAATATATATTTGCATTGAAAAAAAAACATTTATTTTTCATAAAAATTAGAATCTAATAAATGTTTATTTGCTTTTAACAACAAATTAATTTCAAAGTTATTATCTAGGAGACGTGCTCGTTTATCTCCAAAAATGAGCTTACCTAGACTGAACAAGCGCTCTACGGGAGCACTTGATGTTAGAAACAACATTATATTTAATAAAGAGTAATTTTAACTTTGGAAAATCGTTATATAAAGAAAAAGTGTTGTTATTAGATTTGATAAAGTTTTCTATAAGTTCATTATCCAGAATATTTTGGCGCTTTAGGTCAAAAAATCCAACTACATCAAGTGATGTTGGTTTTAAGCATGATTCATTCGTCTGGGATTCACTTTGAGGTATTAAGGTAAATTTGAACGGGAAATTATAACAATTTCACAAAATTTTAAATTAATAAATTTAATTTAAAATTAATTTATCACAACATGATAAAAATAAAATTAATTATATGAATATATCTTTAAAAGTAACTAGTTACTTTTGGCAGTTACATTTCAAAAATTATAACTAGTTACAGTTACAATTTTAAAAATATAACTAGTTACAGTTATTTTTTAGCCAAAATGTAACTAGTTCAAGTAACTAGGTAACTAGTTACCTTAACATCACTAATAAAAATATATACAAACCAAAGGTATATAAAAATATATTATATCTTTATAATAAAATATTGTTAGCTGCTGCTTGCAATCATTGCAAGAGCATTATTAAATTCAAAGGCAAAACAACATCGCCTCTTATTAATCATTATAATAGATTTCATTCACATCTCTGTAAAAACAGTAATAAAATTGACACTTTTTTAAAGCCTATATCACCTTTTTCTTTATCTAAAAAAATTAATTATAAAGATAACTTACTACAATTATTTATTAATAATAATTTATCTTTTAAAATTGTTAATTCACCTGATTTTAAAAATTTTAAAATGATCTTGATTCTTCTATAAAATCGATATGCTCCAATACTCTTAAATTGCATATGTATAATACATTTGCAGAAAAAGAACAGTTGGTAAAGGATATAATATCCAAAAATAAAAGTCAGATTAATTTTTCATCTGATATTTGGACTAGCCCAACTCAGGTTCCTTTTTTTAGGGTTAACAGCCCATTTTATTGATGATAATTTTAAAATAAATAACATAATTTTGGATGTTGCTCCAATAAATGAACAACATTCAGGTGAAAACATATTTAAAGCCTTTATTAAAATAATTAAAAATTATAATTTGGAGAATAAATTTTTTTATATAACTCTAGATAATGCTACTAATAATAAAACATTTATTACATTTTCTTTAAAATATCCATCAATAAAAATAGGGCACATTCGATGCTTTGCTCATGTTATTAATTTAAAATCCAAAGAAATTTTAAAACTACAAACATTAGGATGATACGTAATTCTCCTAAAAAATTAAATTTATTAAAAAATATATGTAGTTAACTACGTCCTCCTATAAATTTTTTAAAACCCAAATTGGATTGTGAAACAAGGTGGAATAGCACCTACCAAATGATTGAAAGGGGCTTATTGTTAAAGCCTGCTATAAAAAAATTAGTTAATGAAGTTATAACTAATATTATAGTTCTTCAATAAAAACAATTATCAGAGGTAAACTAAAATTTATAAATAGGTAAATAATACTTTATTAACATAACATACAGGAGGAATGGGACGATCTTGTAAAAATTAAATCTATCCTATTGCCTTTGTATGAGACTACAAAAATGGTTTGTGGGGAAAATTATCCTACTTATAATTTGGTTATACCCTATTATATTCTAATTCTTGAACACTTAAAAAATGAGAAACCTTGTTTTCATAAAACCTCTAACAATGATTTCAAAGTGGCATATGATAAATTGTTGGGCTATTACAATTTAACTGCAGATGATGCAATAATAGCTACAATATTGAATCCCAGGCTCAAAATAGAATATTTTAAATCAATATCTCTTGATTATGATATTGATATATCCAGGTTAACAGACAAGTTTAAAGAGATTTACAGCAGATATACAGGTATTTAATTTACCCCCATTTAAATACATATCATTTTATTTTATAAGCTGCTGATAATTACAACTGCCAAAATAAGGATGTAAGTCAACAAAACAAGCTTGACATTGTTTTTAAACAAAATTATGTTCAACTATGTGAAATCGATTTTTACCTGAGTGAACCAAGATCAGAGTGATACTGATCCATTAATGTGGTGGAAGACAAAAGCACAAAGGATCCCCATACTCTCAAAAATGGCAAGAGATTATTTATCTATACAAGGAACATCAACTGCGTGTGAAAGACTTTTCTCAGTTGGCACTAATTTGTTGTCAAAAAACCGCATGTCGTATAAAGAAGAAAATATAAGAAAAACCCTTTGCCTTAAAAATTGGCTTAAAATTATAAATTAAATGAATAATATAATATTTTAATTTTGTTTATAACTTGATTATATTTATTTGTCATCGGATTATTATATTTTTTTCTGTTTGAAATCAAATTTGCAATAAAAAAATTTGTCAATATATTTGAGTATGATTTATTTTATTAAGAAAATTCATTTCAATTATTCGAATCGAATACAAATAGTAGATTTTATTATTCGTACGAATTAAATTATTCGATGCGTTTAAACGAATCGAATACGAATAATGCACTATTTGATTCGAATACGTTTTTGAATAGGCCTATTGCTGCATACTATCAAAACGATTAATCTTAAAATTATAAAACTGAAGCCTTTATTTTAAAAACTGTTAAAATAATTTAAAAACTGCATTTAATAATACAATGTATTCGTTTTATTTTGGTATTCAATTTATTATTTAGAATTGAGTATTTTGAATGTTGCTTATCTATTATAAAAAATTAAAGATATACACTGTTTATATAGTATACAAATAAAAATTTTGCTCTATGAACTCCTAATCGCTCTGTAAATTCTTTATAGAATGTGTTATAAATTAAATTTTATGCCGTTTTTATTAACTTTAATGACAAACGTAAAATTTCGTCATTTTCCCCATTGCCCTTGACAGATATCTGCAAATATAAAATCCAGGAAAATAAAATTTTATCCCAGTTTAATCTATGAATTTTATTGGTTTACAAAATTTTATTATCAGGTGAATCAAATATCGTTAATAAAGGAATTGCAAAATTATGATAATATTTGTAAAGGCTGATAAAATTATAATCTTTACTTATAATATTTATTTTAAAAACTTCAATTAGTTAGGCCATACCATAACCAAGGATCAATGAAAAGGAAATAATATTAACTCGTAAAATCATATGATTTTAGAACAGAAAACGAAATATTAATATAAAAATGAAGGAAAATGTCAAAATTATAATATTCATTTATGATTTAAGCATAATAAATATAACCATATAAAATAAATATTGTTTTAAAGTTAAATGCCTTTATTTGATTCTGATTGGTATATAGACCGAATAGTATTTTATCAGTTAAATATAGATTTTAAAACTCAAATAACATTTAAAAATAATGCCTTCCAAATAATATGTACTTATGTGAGGATCTGTATTTATTTCATCTGTTCCGTTAGCCAAGTGGGATCCGAAATATTCAAATGCGATTTTGTAAGGAGAATCATTTTCGAAAGAATAACTTTCCAAATATTGGGGTAAAAGTAATAGATATTGCCCAATCTGTGAAATAACGCCAAATAAATAAAAATTTTTATAAAAAGTTTTAGAATATTTAATGTCAAATCAAAATTGGTACAGCCTTTTAAACAAAAGAAACTTGGCATGATGGTTATAGTTATAAATTTATATATAATTCAAAATTTTAAAGCTCTGGTTCCAATATAACCGATGTTATGAGCTTTTAAAGTCAAATGTGGGTTAATTTTTCTTTTGTTGGATTTCAAATTACTCAAAATAAAATCAAAATTATGTATTATTTTGTAGCCCTTGAAATTTCGCTAAGAAAATATTAATTAAAAAAATATTTTAGCATTGTTATCCGGTAAAATAAAAACAATTTCAAGCTATGATCCAAATGCTTATCACTAATATATTTATAATTAAAATAGGAATTTAATTTTTTGAATAAAAAATAGAGCCTAGAAAACGCTATCGTTAAATAATAATTAATATGTAAATTTTTTTATTATAAAAATAGATCTTTTATATTTTAAATAATTATTTTATATATTAAAACATCAATAATTAACCCCTTTAAACATAATTCAATACTGTAAACACTTATTATAACTTCATGAGAAAATTTGTATGTACACCCGATATATGACAGCTACTAAGGTTATCTATTGAACACTATTTTCAAAAATAATTAATCATAAAAATAAGATTTTTAAATAAAAAAACTTTAAAACCTTCCATAAATTTTTTAAATACTATTAAAATTTCTTGTTGCAAGTGTAACATCAAAAATTTTTTTTTTAAATCCGGGCTTAGCCAGGCTTAAAAAAGGTTTTTTGAATTTGGAGCGGGGGCTTAAAAATGTCTATCTCTGGGTATATTTACACAAATCTAATATTATTTAGTAATTGCATCAAAAAAAAATATTTAAAAAGATAGCGCTCTCTATATTTAGTTTTCTTATTTTCAATATTATGATAAACGAGATAATTTTTAAATGTTTACATCTTCTATTCTAATTATTATTCTAAAGATGCGACAATACTAATGTTGTAAACGAACGTGTTCAATGAATGAAGTATTTTTGAGAAAAAAGGATGAACGACGTTCCTTTTATTTTTGACGAATTTTGAACGTGAACGCGTTCCTTGATTTTTACGTTAATTCAATTTTGGAAAATCTTCTTATTTTATTTATTAAAAATATTAATAAAAATTTTTTAAGAAAAAAGGTTTATTTTTTAAGCGGCTGTTCCTTTATCACATTTGACTTTTTTTTAACCAGCCACTATTTCTTTCCTATAGTGTAGTTTATTAATTTATAATTTATAGATTAGCGTAAGCATCAGTTTTTATCATCATCTGGTTTTGTTCAGAAGCAGATGAAATAACATTATGACCCAAATATAATAAATACTTAATAGTAACATTCTATATTCAATAAACTAATTCTATCCTTACCAAATGTAGAATGTGCCAAAAAGTATATCAGTTTGAAAATCTTCAAGTTCTAATTTAAAGGGATACATAATTGTAATATTTATTATTATAAGTATCCATAATTTATTTTAAATTGTTGTATTTTATATGCTTATTAAATTATTAAAATAGATACCTAAAGAAAAATCATTAAATATTATTATATACATAGGTATAAAATAGTTAATATCTTATAGAATTTATTTATTTTTCGTGTGATTATTTGAAATTTCGCTATTATTTATAAGTTTTATTTTGATAGTTGAGCACAATATATCTTATAGATAATAAATTATATATTTTTTTTATTGACTTAAAACTATCAATTTTTAAACATGGCGAATATATTGTGTTAAAATTTATATTAAATAAATTTAAAAAAAAATTAATCGTAAAGTTTTGAACAAACGTGAGTTCGATATTTTTGGAAATGTTTACGGCACTTGTGAATACTAATAATATTTTTTTAGGCTCATAGTGGAGATGGATCCGATTCAAACGTCAAATTATTTGATAATATACTCACTTTTTTCATACGCATATAGTTATAAACCATGACATCATTTTAAAGTAATTTAGTTAGCGAAATAAAAAAATGCCCTCTTTACGACTTTTAGTGTTTACTCTATTTTTTTCCTTCTTGAATAATAGATCATATATAATTTAACTAATGAATATTTGTTCATTTAAAAATATTAAATAATGTCTTAAAAAAATAACTATGAATGCTTTGTAGGACTCCGTCAATCAGATGATACTTTGACGTTCGGATCTGTCTCCGCTATGATTGCAGCCTAAATACTTGCGTCTACTATATTAAAAATCGGGTTAAAAATGAAGTCGACTAATTTATTTTATAAAAATTAAGTAAATAGTTATATACTGTTTTAGATGACCTTTAAACTTTGCCGGATTAAAAAGTCAAAATATAAAACCTCAAAATTTGCTGAATCCGCTTAAGACAGAATGTATGGGAACGGAAGCTATTAGAACATTTATATAATTTTATGAGATAGACTTTTGAGGGAACGGATACAAAATCGGATCAATTTACAAGATGAATGCAGCCTTTAAAAAAAAATTTCTAAATGAAAATTTTTAGTGCTAAAAGATAATATATAATTTGTCACTAAACTAAATATTTTTTGAGTGGGTATTTTGAGATTTGCTAAAGGAAGAAAAAGCCCACATTGGGCTTTGAAGGTCTATAACTAAGAATATATTTGAGATAGAACTATAAATATTTATACATTTACTATATAACCAACATACTGTGTTCCCTTTATTCCAAAAAAGTCTTCCTAAAATTATATTTTTTGGTCGATTTGTCATGGAATGGACCCCATATCTAAAAAATCAACTATAAAATATTTTAATTATTCATCATCTGAGGATAGAATATACATAAAAATTTAGGGCAAAAAATTCTATTAAACTAAAATATAATATATTAATTCAATTTTTTGGTTTTATTTTATAATCCATTTCATGCGATAACTTCGGTAATATATTCAGAAGGTATATATGCCATGTGTAGAGCAGGTGCATCACCATCTCTCAACTTGGTTAAAGTATGTTGGTCAGAAAACCACAAATTTTGAGTATGAACATTTCTTAAGTGAGTTTGTATAGGTTCACTCAAAGTTGATTTAAGAGCTTTTATGCTAAAAATACAGAGTGGGCGGAATGCTTCCTATAAATTTATATATAAAATAAAAATAAATATAAGCTAGAAACATGCAAGACCCGAATCGACCGGTTTAAAATAAAAAGAATTAATAGAGCCTGAACCGTTAAAGTATTTTGCAAAAAAGCAAGCCCAGCGTTTAGGCTGAGCAATAATCTGATAAAGTCTAAAAATTAAAAAAAAATATTTTAACAATATTTTACTTGTAATTTAAATTAGGTAGGAACCTGGAGTAAAAATTTCTGGTTCCAGTTCTGAATATTATTTTAATAAGTTCAGGTTCCTAAAATCTAAAAAGTTGGTTTTGGTGCCAAATTCTAATAAGGCAATCATATTTTTTTTTAAAAAAGTTAAACAATATATATAAATTATTGTCGCTTTTGTTAAAATAGGTTCGTGGAAATTGGGCTCGTATTCTTATAAATTCGATAAAAAGAATTCAGGGTCGGATTTATAGATTTTGTCTAGGTGTAAGGTGTGATCCGGATATAAGAGATTTCATCATCTAACACATCAAGATCACACCAATGATATAATAGCTCCCAATGTTTTTGAAACGTTAAATTTAAAATAAAATTTTTCATGTCATGAATTAAAATTATTAATATTAAAATATAGAAACATTACTGATATATAACCTAGCTTTTAATGCTTTGCAAGAGATATTTTGTTACATATTAAGAGCTCATCCTTATATTTATAGATTATTTAGTTCAAATAATGGGAGATATAAGCAAAAGGTAAAGGATATAATTTCTAATCTAATATATGGTGAATTCCATAACAAATCAATGAAAAACTAGATTTCAACTCTACCTCCTCAGATTTTTCTAAAATTTTTACAAGATATAGTATTTATTATAACTATGGAAAAAAAAGTTTAGCACCCAACTCCAAAAAGCGGCGGAAATACGGGCTCTTAAATATCGAAAAATGGGGTCTTTTGGACAAAATGCCCTCCTTATAATTTAGATATCTTTGGATATAATTGAGCTAGAAGCTTCATTTAAATTCCTCATACAGCTTAGTGGTTTTAATATAATAAATATGTTTTAAAAATTAATGTCAACAGGAAATAAGCTAGAATTAAATATGGGCTTTTATTTTTCTCTCAATTTTTTTATGCATGGCTATAGGATTTATTAATATATATGCAAAATTACAAGTTGGATAGAGCACAAATTTAGGAGATATGGTATTTTAATCATTAGTCTATGACAAATATTCTAAATAAATATTTGATATCCTATCAATCAATAATTGTTATATAAGTCAGAAGCTATCAAATATTTTATGTTTTATATTTAAAAATATAGTTATTTAAGATCTGGAAAAGTATTTTTATTTTATTTTATTTTTTTTTGGGAGAGGGGGGGGGATTGGTTAATTTTTTTGCCGAATAGAATTTCTTTCCTCATAAAAATATCTAAAAAAAATGCTAATCATATAAATTTATTGAATATGTAATTAATTTTCACAATACAAATATATAATATAACTAATTTTATTTTCCTTAAGAGGCAAAGCATTAAACTTTTGTATTCCGGGGTCTTTTGAACAATATATTTTTTCATATTAATCATCTTTTACATATGCGTGATTAATGCCAGTGATATTTGTACAAAAATTAAATAACTCTAAGGTGTTTAATAATTTATTTTAATATGGACGCGGAGGGTTACTCTTTCTCTTAACCTTTTGGTAAGATTGCCATGGGCTATTACAAAAAATTGTCATTCCGCCTTGATACCAAAAACAAGTTCATGATAGCTTAGATTATCATTATTCTTAAATTGAATTACTACACCATAAGAAGAAAAAATATTTTTGATAAATTTCGATTTAAGAAAAAGTTTAATACAAATTTAAAAAAATTGGTCTCAAATCTGTAAATAAATCAAAGATCTTTTATATCAATTCTTTAAAATTAGAATAGAATTTCTTAAGATTGCATAAAATGAGCATTTTCTTCAATTGGTTCTCTCTATTAACCTTTATTGTTAAAAAACGGTTTGTACCAGGCATTATACAACTCTTATAATCGGAATTTATTAAATTTTCCAATAACATCTATAATATAGTCTCAAAACACTTCCTGTTTATAATATTTGGATTAGATAAAACACCATTTTCCATGACTTATTTTTTGCTACCTTTGCCATTAATTCAGTCGTAGAAAATTTTTGTTATTAGGGTCCAAGAATAATTTGGTAAAATCGTAAATATATCAATTTTTCTCGAGAATGTAATGTTTTAAATTTATTTTTCAATTGTTTATGATTACAAATTCATTCCTAATAATAAAATTACATTCTGAAAAAATTATCAAAACAATCTTTCTTATTTTTTTCTTAAATTTTTTTTTATAATAAGATATCTTTTTCGCTTAATTATCTCTTTTTAATTGATGCTTCACCCATTAATGGTAATGAATCTTTTAGATCTTCAAAGGCTGAATCATTAATATATTTCTCGTGAAATATAGATGTAAAATGTTACTAAAAGAAGCATGTAATCTTACATAAGATACTGCAAATTTTACCGTTTTGTTAGTGATTTATTCTGGCTAATCATCCAAGAAGTACATTTCTTAGGCCTTAGCAAAGTATATGTTTATCCAAATTAAATGGATTGTAAGAACCAAGTAAATATATAAAATAAATTAGGAATAGCCCCCCCCCCCACCATTAATCTTTTATAAAAATACATAATATAATAAAATATTTATTACAAATTTTTAAAATTGATTAATGATTAAAATGCCATATCTCCTAAAACCTGTGTTCGGCCAAACTTGAAATTTTGTATATTTATTATTCAATCCTATAGTTATACCTAAAAAAAATCGAGAGAAAAAAAAATTGATTTTATGATCAATTTCGGGTTTTGACATTTAAATTTTTAAACAATATTTAACATTTATATTACTTTAAAGACTACCATTAGGCTATATAAAAAATTTAAAAGATGCTTCTATGTCAAGAGTGCATTTTGCTCAAAATGCCCTATTTTTCCATCTTTAGAGGCCTATATCTCAGCTGTTGGTTGGAGTTGGAAGCTAAATTTTATTTTTATTATTTATAGGGATCCAAAACGAACCTGAACCATTAAATAAAAACCGATATTTTTTATCTAACTTAAACCAAACCTAAACCGTTAAAAATATAGCCGAACCTGAACCGATAAAATGTCTCTGAACCGGTTCGAGACTCATGATTTTATGCTTATAAAATCATATGTAGGTTATTACTAGTATATTGCAAATTTTTTTTTATAGATTATTATCAATCACATTTGATTATTAACTGTCAGTCATAATTTTTTATAAACCTTAGTATATTGCCATTTTATTTTTAAATATTTTAAGCTTATAAATTATAAATAATGCTTTAAGAAAAATTAAATTCAATATATAAATTATTTACATATAGTATTATAAATGACACATCAAAATGTAATATTACTTATTGTTAAATAAATATGAAAAGCCATCATGGAGCAAATATTGAGCGTCACATAGAATTCGATAAAATAAACAATAAATCACAACAAAAGCCTAACATGTACAATGAATATATTTTTAAGATTCGTCTCATTCAAAATACATCTATAAGGATATAGTATAAATTTAATTTGTAAAAACATCTTTCCACACTAACTTGGGTAGCCGGCACTGCCAGTATGATATCAGACAATTTGTATTTGTTCTTCTTCATCATTTTCAGACATTTGATTGTCATCATCGCTATCCTCCAGAGTTGTTAAAAGATACTTTTTAAATGGATCTAGATATAGATACATCGCCTAAAAATTTATCTATATACAGATACAGCTTCTAAAAAGTTATCTTGATACAGATACAATTAAAAATGTATCTATGTAGAGATACATTTTTTATTATACTCTTAGATAAGGTTTGAATAAACCTAAATTAGGATTATATTGTGAAAATTCATGAAATGACTAAAAAATTTATTGACTCGATATCACATTTATCAAAATATAACTAAAATAATGATTTTTAGATATTAATATAATATATGATTAATATAAATAATTATTATATATCATTAATAAAATAATATAATATATGATTTGATTATAAATAATTATTAGATTTCAGTAACAACCACTGTCTGTCGACAAATTATATTTTTTTGTGGTGCTAATGTTTTGATCATTTTTATAAATGATGGATTTTCAACAATTGAAAATGGCTGAATGCTATCTATAATAAAATAAGTTATTAAATCATCTAAAGTGGTTTGGGTTAAAGTCTGAGGTCTCTAGGAAAAAAAATCAATGAACGATGAGCCTAGTCCAATATTTTCTTTAATAGATTTTTTCTCCTTCCCCATTTTTATTTGGATTAAGAGTGTTTGATGTTTTCTCTTAAAATTTAAAATTGTAAACATTTATTTAGTATCTATACCCTTAAATGTTTTACAATGTTGCAAGTTGAAGTAATGATAACTGAAATTTGCATATTTTTTGGTAGACATGGCAAATATTTTACTAACAGATATTTGTTTTCTTTATTTTGAGATATTATTTTAAAATATGATCTATAAATTGGCCATGGAAGAATGTCGTCATTTTTGTCATCAATATTATAGTGTTGTAAGCGAACGCGTTCAAAATGAACGCGTTCGTGAACGAAGTTCGTTTTTTTGAAAAAAGGTGATGAACGGCGTTCCTTTTCTTTGATGAACGCGTTCAATTTTACGTTCGTTCAATTTTAAAAACACTTTTTATATTTATTTATTTGAAAAATTAATATTAATCCGCATTTTTTAACAAAAAAGTCTTATATTTTTATTTATTTGAAAAATTAATATTTAATCCAATTTTTTAACAAAAAAGTCTTATATTTTTTAATCAGCTGTTTTTACTTTTTCCTCGTTCATATTGCAATTAACGTACCATAACGTGCTACTGCTAGAGAAGATAAGATTAAAGTTTATTAATTTGAATATTTTATATTTTAATTTTATAGATTAGCATTT